GAGTTGTTTGAGAGGGGTCGTGGCTTCGTGGGTGGCTGAAGGAGTGAAGAGGAGAGAAACACACACACACACACACACACACACACACACACACACACACACACACACACACACACACACACACATATATAATATATATATATATATATATATATATATATATATATATATATATTATATATATATAATATATATATAAATTAAAGAGTATTAGGTTTTGAAAATTAATTAAAAATAATTATAATCACAAAAAATAAAAAATAATTACGTGAAAATTATCTACACATCAAAACGTACTAGTTGTACTAATATAACATATAATACGCAATAGTAGAAATAATACCACAAATTGTACAATTAAACGAGATTAATTAATAAAAATATAATTTCCTACATTTAAAATCAAATAATTATGGGCTAATTATATACACAGTAAAACGTACCAGTTATACTAATACGACAGATAATGTGTAATAGTAGAAATAATATAACAAATTATACCAAAAATACGTAATTAATAATACCATGTATTATATGAAATAATACGTAATAATATTAATAATACAACATATTATTTAAAATAATACGTAATAGTACCGATAACACAAAAAATTAATTCTAGAAATTTTTACTTTACTAAATAAATTTATAAATATTTAAATTATTTAAATAAATATAAAACTTTGACTTTAAATCATAGAAAATTGTAAAAATTCAAGAAAAATACAAATACTCTTCTAAAATAATAATTAAATATTTAAAAATACCAGAAAATTATTTTAACTAGTATCAAAATTCACGGTCATTACATTCTACCCCTTTAAAACAAATTCCGCACTCGGAATTAAAATAAAAGTAATGTAGAAAGAATCCAAGGACTGAGATATGAAACGATATCCATAAATAGAGGAGAATGTAAAATAAAAACGACACAAGGTAAGATACAAGATGTGATAACTAAGATATCATTATCGCATTTCAGACTCGCAACAAAATCCAAACAAATACTATGATACAAACATATTTAACTGTGTGAACTTGCTATACAATACTTTTAAATATATAAACAATCTAATTAGTATAAAGTATAAGATAAGCAATAATATAGAATTAAAACAAATAGGTACAATATAAATAAACAATCATATAGAGTGAATCATACAAATAATATACAAGCATTCATAGAAACAAAGTAGAAACTTATTAAGTAAGAATAAAGTCAATTAAGGACAATAAATCTAAAGCAAACACAAAAATAAGTCAATTACAATAGAAACAGACAGAAACATAAATAACATAATAAGAAAAGTCGAAAAATCTAAAATACATAATAGTTTAAACAAAACATAATAGCAGGGTATAACAATGGTTAATCAAAACAAAAAGAAATTTAATTATGAAAAACACAATCAATTTAGGTTTAAACTAAAGCTTATTAAAAACACAATGTAAGATGTAAAATCAATAAAAATGAGTAAACGAGCAAAAAAAAACATTAACGGGATCATATAACAAAATAGAATGATATAATAATAAGTATAAATCAAAGATAATAGGAAAAGCAATCATAAAGCAATTAGAATAATAATACATACAAAATAAACACAATAAAAAAACATATTTAATTGATGGAATGATGAAAAGTAGTCTGAAACATAGAAAAGATACAAAGATAGTCAGGTATAAATAGCTAAACATAATTTTTTATTATACAATCAAATAATCATGCAAAGCGGTATACAAAATTTAGTAGATAATTAATTTATTACACAAAGATTAGGAATTTACAAATTGTATACACAGAAATTAGAATGCGACAAATAATACAATTATGTAAAAATAAGCAGCACAATGCAAGTGGAATATTAGAAGGTAATTGAACATAAACCAAAAAGGTATGATATACAAAACAATACAAGGCAGATAATCATGGAAGGCCAAGATGATATGACACAACAATATATAAAAATGAATTATATGTAGTATATCACATCAAAAACAAAACAAATAATTATAGACATATATCACAGCAATAATTATCAAAAACACACACTTTATATATATTATGACTAAATAAATGAAGTAGGCTAACATGGACAAAGAATAAAATAAAAAGTAAGTATTAGAATAAATAAGAAACTGTATATAGAAAATAAGTAAGCAAAACACAAACAAAACTAAGAAGATGAAATGATTGCTAAATTAAATCAAACAATGATGATAGATGTAATTGGAAGTAAAGGATGAAATAAGATATACTAAATGAAACTACTTTATACGTAATAAAACAAGCTAGCAAGTTAATAGTACAATTATAATATAATGTACAATAGCAGACAATGCTAATGTAACATGACTGAAATATACTAAAACATAAGAATGACACAATATCACTAGAAAAGCACAAGATATAAGACAAGAACGCAGAACAATCAGGCAGAAGGACAATAAAGATTATAATAATGTATACAGAATATACATAATCACAATTGAAATAACATTAAGAAATAACATAGATAGAAACACATCAACACAGAATATACATAATCACAATTGAAATAACATTAAGAAATAACATAGATAGAAACACATCAACACATATAGATAACAAACACATGCAAATCATAATGATAATCAATAGCAGAATAAAACGATACACAATAATTATTAGCATACAAACAGTTATATAAAACAAAGTAAATAATACAAAATCATAGTTAGGCTCAAAGGAACACAAATAAAATCAAAGTATGAAAATAAAAGATATAAAAGTAAAAAAGATAAACAAGATTCATAAACATATGATGTGTATAACAAATATAATCATTATGTATAATAAGCGTTAAAAATGAAAACACATACATAATAATAAGCATATAAAAGTCTGTATACTCATGGTACTAATCATGCTAACAAAAATAAATTTTGATGGAAAGAGTCACAAAATATTATATGATAAAATAGACATAAGAGTAAACACGTGATTCAAAATAAGCATATTATATAAACATAATAAGGACATAATTATATTTGTATTTGACAATAATATAATAAATCAGAAGTATTAGTAATATTCATTAGATAAAATAATAAATATAAACAAGATATAACAATAATAATTATTACTGGATAGAATCAATTTAGATATAGCAATATATGGCATCATAGTCAAAGTCACATAAATACAATCAACATAATTATACATAAATAAGGATGTGTAATACACAAAATACGAACTATGAAAGATAAAATAAATTTATAAACAAATGAAAACTTAAGAAGAGCATAAATTTGTATAATAAAAACATTGATATATTGTAGGTAAACATACAATGAATGATTGATGAACATGTGAATATAAACACCGATAATACATGAAATAGAATACGATTAAACACAGTTGATACTAAAAATGATGAATGACTATAAATCAACAAAAAAATAAACATCATAAATATAATAATCCACGTGAATACAATATAATGAAAAGAAAATAGTAAGTATAAAGAATGAAAAAGTATAACACAACACAAGTAAATGAAAATAATGAATAGAGAATAAACAACAACTAATAACACAATAACGATCATAAAAATCTAAAAATACCATAAAATAAATACTGAAAAAATAACACGCGTATACAATGTTTATTGTCACAATGACAAAATAATACATATCGGAAACGAAGAAAACAAACAACAATATGTAAATACACTATAAAGAACCCATGAGTAAATACTATACATACTCACAAACACTATTTAAAATAATCTTTTATATTAGTTGTAAAAGAACAATATTCAATGATACAAGATAATATTACAAAACCCTATATAAATAGTAATTCAAACTCCAAACCTAACAATATGAATAAACGCTTGAATATTAAAGTATAAATACATTGCTCTTAGAAATAACGAATCCAATTGTCAACATACTATAATAATCTAACAAGACAAAACCTAGTGATAAAACTATATACTAAAAATGTAAAGGATAAGAATATAGTGTATATGTAGAATATTAAAATCATGAACTTATTAAAGTATATCACAAAACACGAACAATATATAATAATCTAAATATAGTAAATAATAGATGATATGACAGAAAAACGTACTCATACACAATATAGATATGCAAAAGTATAATTAAACATAGAAATCAATACAATTAAATGATATATAAGTCAAATCAAAGAAAATATAGTTGTAAAAATAATAACACATATAATAACGATCGATACGAGGAAAGATGGATTATACAAAGAGGGGGTAATCGCGAAGCGATAGGACAAGAACCTTGGAAATTCCGGAGTCAAGAGTGATAAGATAGGGATGAAACGAAATCAAGAAAATAGGACAATGGCTCAAGAATAGTCTCACAGATGAAATATGATATGTTTCTAAATTGCCCATTATATTCTTACTAGTGAGGACTCGGGACCGTGACCTGCATGGGCCACCAAAAAAACCTGTCACGCCACGCTTCCCAAAATACCCGGGAATCGGAACGTGAACAAGCCCGCGACGTATTAGATTAAGGAGAATAAATAAAATAATCATTTCTCTTTAACCTAATACGCTAAGTGTCTGAAAATGAATACAATACGAAGTCACAGGTCCCCGATCACAATCAGCAAGAATATAATGAACAACACAGAATGAAATAATACATATCACAAATGAATATTCATCCCAGGCATAATATTCGGGTCAAATATGCCCTTATACATATCTGAACAAATGAATACTGGAGAAATGTAAAATACAATGATCAAGCAGAAAAGAAATGCTACAAAAGTAAACTAAGATCGTCGAACAACTAGAGGGAATGATTAAGCTTTGGCTTCTTCTGCTCAAATCCTTTGGCTCCTGGCGATCTCCCACCTGGGTCTGTTCTTTCTCTAAGTCTGACGTACACCAGAGAAAACATGTGTAATGGTTAGCTGTACATTAAGAATACAAATCTGGGATTGCTATGTATATGGAGCTTGATAGATGGGGCTCTCGCTTGGTGCCACTATGTTGTTGGGGTTACAGGAGCTAGATTCTCAGTTTCCCATCACATGCCCAACTGTTACATGATGTTGGAGTTCTACAAATGGGATAGCAAAGTGAGTGCTCCTCATCCTAACTTTTAGGTAAATAAGACTCGCTTGTTTTGGATTAGTCGGAGGTATAATGAGCTCTCCAAGAAGGGTCCAAAGAGTAGAGCTCTTGGGCTCCAAGAATTTCCAGCAGAAGATGTGCCAGATGAGGACTGGGGAGCGCTATGTGAACACTCTGTACCTCAAAGGGAGGTTGGTATCAGGATCAACATTCGGGAGCCGACTGAACCCGTGGTCCACCAAGAAACACCTGGTAGAGGGCGGGGTAAAGGAAAGTGGCTGTTACATGTTCCTTCTCTTCCGCCACCTTCAAAGATGCAACGTTTGGTGACTCCCGAGCCTAAACTTATGCCTAGCGACTCTTTGAGAGTTAGAGAGGAGTCTCTTGTGGTCCCAATGCAAGAATTTGTGAATTTTCATGGAAATAGGTGATTTTATGCAAAATACATTCAAATGTATTTTGGTCTATACAAACCATGTTAACATCTTTTATTATGTCCATAAAACGATTACACAAGTTTTCAGAACTTGATTTGAGCTAATAGCAAAAACAACATATTTGAAAACATGTATTTTAGCACTTTTGAATATTTCTGAGTTTTCACAAATGGTAAGAGCAATTTGAAAAATTCCTTTTCCAACATGTTCATATTCATGATTATAAACTTTTCTTAAAGTTTTACATTTTTAGAATTTATTTGCTATTTTTTAAACCTCTTCAAAGTTGGTTTTTACTATTCAATACAGGTTGAAAACTTGTTATCAGTCGACTGATCAGTTGACTGATGATATCAGTCGGCTGATCAATCGACTGAAGAATGTACATGTAATCTTTAAAAGTTTCTGTTCTGTTTTGGTCGACTGACCAGTCCACTGATAAAGACAGTCAGTCGACTGATGAGCTATCTGACGCCTACAACGGTCAGCTCATCAGTCGGCTGATGCTTTCTGTCAGTCGACTGATAAGCTATAACAACTATTTTTACAGCCTTCTATTTTTTGTCTTTTTGCTGGATTTTCTTGGGTTTTGAGCTTTGGTTTTTCATCCTATATATACCCCTCACTATTTTAGTTCTGAGTTAGTTTTTTAAGAGGGTTTTTAATAAGAGTTTTAAGTGTTTCAAAGTTTGTTTAAGTTTCAAAGTTTGAGTTTACAAAGAGGAGGCTTGCATTTTTAATTGAGGAATTCATCATCAATCTTCTTCAACCTCTTTGTGTTTATAGAGAAGTTTTTCTAACTCTTTTTTCTAGCAATTTTATTATTGATTTTCATATTCTTATTATTGCTAGTTTGCTAATTGAGTTAGATTTTATTTATACTTATTTTATCACACACACCCTATTTGAGCTTGTAGCATTTTATACATTATATATTGGATTGTGGGATTGTGATTTGTGAGATTGAGCTTACATTGAGTTCTTACCTATTGTAGAGAACATTTTATTATAGTTGAGCCTAATTGTGAGTTGCACATTGTATTACACTTGTACACCGAGAGAAGTGTGTGGTGAGAGATGGGGTCGGTTCCAAGAGGAGTGTGGTCGATAGTAAAGCCTAGTAAGAGTTGGTAATTCCGAACACTTGAGGAAGGTGATACGAGCTAGGCCAACACTTATAGGATGTGAAGTGTATTTGTAAGTGTGTAAGTTATAAAGTTTTCGGTGAACTAAAAAACCGTATTGTGAGGTGTAAACGTTATTCGGGTGAGCGTAGAAAATCCAGTTGTGATAATGAAGATCTCCTCGAGATGAGGAGCGGAGATGTAGGTCGTGGGGACCAAACTCCGTGATCATATCTTGTATTTGCGTTTGTCCTTTGCACACTATCACTTGTGTTTATTTACTCTTGTTCATATATCCTTGCATATATCAAATTAAATATCAAGATTGTTAGGATATTTGTTAATAACTTTTAATTTGCATTAATATCTAATAAGATTAGCAATAACCCTATTCACCCCCTCTAGGGTACTTCATGGTCCTCCGTTCTAGAATTTGACTTGAACCCTATAATACCTTAAGAATAAACTTTTGAAACAGAAGAGAGAAGCCTAAGGGTTTCTAAACTTATTTTATGAATTAAGGCTAAGTTCATCTATTTTGTATTAAGGAGCAAGGCCTTAGGATTTTCTAAAATTTATTTTCTACATTATGGCTCATGCCTCAACATTTTTATTCTCGAAGCATGAAGCTTTTCGAGGTGCATGGTCATCCGTTCTAGAATTTGACCTCCGTACTTGAACCCCATGACACCTTGAGAATAAACTTTTTAAACAGAAGAGAGAATCCTAAGGGTTTATGATCTTATTTTATGAATTAAGGTTAAGTTCATCTATTTTGCATTAAGGAGCAAGGCCTTAGGATTTTAAAAAAATTATTTTCCACATTATGGATCATGCCTCAAAAGTTTTATTCTCGAAGCATGAAGCTTTCGAGGTGCATGGTCCTCCATTCTGGAATTTAACTTCCATACTTGAACCCCATGACACATTGAGAATAAACTTTTGAAACCGAAGAGAGAAGCCTAAGGGTTTCTAATCTTATTTTATGAAGTAAGGTTAAGTTCATCTATTTGCTTTAAGGAGCAAGACCTTAGAATTTCCTAAAATTTATTTTCTACATTACGACTCATGCCTCAAAAGTTTTATTCTCGAAGCATGAAGCTTTCGAGGTGCATGGTCCTCCGTTCTAGAATTTGACCTCCGTACTTGAACCCCATGACACCTTGAGATAACCTTTTTAAACAGAAGAGAGTAGCCTAAGGGTTTCTGATCTTATTTTATGAATTAAGGTTAAGTTCATCTATTTTGCATTAAGGAGCAAGGCCTTAGGATTTCCTAAAATTTATTTTTTGCATCATAGCCTATGCCTCAAAAAATTTTATTCTTGAAGCATGAAGCTTTCGAGGTGCATGGTCCTCCGTTCTGAAATTTGACATCCATACTTGAACCCCATGGCACCTTGAGAATAAACTTTTAAAACAGAGGAAATCAACCTAAGGATTTCTGAACTTATTTTATGAATTAAGTCTAAGTTCATCTATTTTGCATTAAGAAGCAATGCCTTAGGATTTCCTAAAATTTATTTTCTGCATCATGGCCCATGTCTCAAAATTTTATTCTAGAAGCATAAAGCTTTTGAGGTGCATGGTCCTTCGTTCTGAAATTTAACCTCTGTACTTGAACCCCATGACATCTTGAGAATAAAGTTTTGAAACAAATGATAAGCCTATGATTTTTAACACTTATTTTGAATTGATATCTTGGCACCTTAGAAATTGAATTTTGAAAAAAAGGGCTTAAGTTTTTTTCTAATGAGTGGAGGCTAAGTTCATTTTTTAAAAGAGTGAAGTCTCAATGTTTTGTTTTTTAAAATCAATTTCACTATAGAGTGGCCCATGTTTTAATAAATTTATTCTCGAAGCATGAATCTTTCAAGGTGCATGGTCCTCCATTCTGAAATTTGAACTACTTACTTGAACTCCATGTCACCTTGAGAATAAATCTTAAAATAGAGGTCGAAGATTCACGAGTTTCTTATAATTTTTTTCTTTTTTTAATCAAAACCTAAGGTTTCTAAACTTATTTTATTAAATGAGGTTTTGCGTGGCTTAAAATAATAGAACCTTCAAAACATGAATATAATAGATGAATGCATGAATAAGAAAAATGGGTCATGACATCTGATGATTTTAATATCTTGTGCATGTAAACAAGTTTATTGACATCAAGAACAAGAATATGGCTATAATATTTTATATACTTAAACAAAACTTGACGGAAGTACTCACTGTAATTCCACGAGCTGCGATTGAGAAACCTATACAGAATATCAACAATGGATCGACAATAGAACCTACAAAATAAAATTGAATAAAATAAATATATCAGAATAAAAAAAGCCAAAGGATCTTATTGTTATAAAAAAAAGAAACATGGGGACCTAAAAAATGATGAACATTAAAATTTTTAAAAATATAAGATAGATTATGTAAATAGGAGTAAAGAACAAAAGAGATTTAAAAAAAAGAGGCGCATGTGAAAAAGTAACGCAGGATGAACAATAATCGGATGAATAGTATAGGTAAAAGTTGGATGAACTGTAACCCAATGAATAGTAATCGGGTAAAACAATAATCCGATGAACAGTATTGGTGAATAGTGATCAATAGTAATAGGTGAATAGGAAGGAAACCGGATAAACAATAATCTGATGAACAATAATCGATGAGTAGTAATCAATAATCGGTGAACAGTAATTAACAGTAACAATTTTTTCTCTCTCTTAATAAAAAAAGAGAAAGAAAGATATTTACATGTAGTCTTCCTCAAACAATCTAATATAACATAAATTAAAAGAAAGAAATATATATAGATATATATAGCTATGTGAAGCCTAATTGTGGTAGGATTAGATTTTCTTTTTAAATTATGTTGGGATTCTATCTTAAAATTTTTTGACATCCCTTTTAAATCGAATTCTATCTCCTACTAATTTAGTAATTTTAATTAGATAAGGACTCCTCATATTTGAATTAAATGAACTAATCCTAAGCCTTTAAAACAAAAAATGTCATAGCACAACAACAACAAAAAAAAAACTTAGGCTCACGCACTCGGTTAAAAAATAACCGAGCACGTAAGCCAAAGGGGGCAATTTGTAGACTAACAATTTTTTTTCTTATCAACAAACCCTATAAATAAAACTTATTGTGAGGATGATAGTACCTCATAAAAATCAAAACTAATATGAGAGATAGTACCTCATAAAAATAAAAATAAACTAATGTGAGAGATAGTACCTCATATAAATTTAAACCAATAAAGGTAGGCCCCCCGTATTAATTATTCCAGAGAGACACACCTTTCCTTTGTACTTATCAAAGTTGATAAGCTCAACAAGCCTTGTCAATAAAACAAATATGAGAGATAATGCTTCATATAAATCTAAACTAATGAAGGTAAGCCCTCCATATCAATTAATTCAAAGAGGCACGTCTTCCCCTTATAGTTGTTAAATTTGACGAGCTCAACAAACCTTATCAATGAAACTTAATGTGAGGGATAGTACTTCATATAAATAAAAATAAATGTGAGGGATAATGCCTCATGTAAGTTTGAGAGTACATGTACCCTCTATTAATCATTTAGAAAAAGAAAAAAAACACATGCCTCACTCCTTCATATTAACCAAATTCTCAAACTTGAGGGTGCATGTCAATTTCGATATATTGGTGTTATCATGTGATCATAAGCCTTAGCAATAAAATCTACTTGAGGGTGCATGTCAATTTCGATATATTGGTGTTATCATGTGATCATAAGCCTTAGCAATAAAATCTAGCTCGAGGATACTCACCCTACACACCTTATTTCAACTTGAACGTATATAGGCTCCACATAACACCTATTTTAAGAAATAAAGAAAGAGATAAGCTGATAGATAAATGAGAAGTGAAAGGCAAATGAAATGTTCGTTATGATAAACGAATGTAACAATCTTGATAAGGAAGTTATAATGACTCCCCCACCAATCCCTTTCAAACACCTGTCAATAACTTCCCCGTATCTTTTCCTATAAATTAAGACCTCATTTGCCATTCGAGAAAAAAAAAGAGAACGAAAAAATGACAAAAAAGATAGAGAAAAGGCGGAGAGATTGAAAAGAAAGAGAGACTTAGAGTTTGAAACAACAACGACAAGATCCTCTGTATTTTTCATATTGAAAAGGAGGAGGGCTCCAGAACATTGTCTAGAGACCCAAGATCCCATCTTCTTTCTCTTCAATTTTGTAATACATTAGAAATATAATAAAATCAATACCTCCCTGCATTTGATTTTTAATGTCTATTTAATTCTTTGCTTTCTACTACTCAGGGGTTTCTTTTAATAAGTGTAATTAACAGAAATAAATAAATTTCTGGAAGCATGCACCTCACAATATTTTTTTACAAACAAAGTGATACTAATATGTATCTAAAGAGTAAATATTTAAGGATTGCTCTACTCTCCTTGAGATTGGTGATACGACTTGGTCAAGAAGAAATTAGCCTACCCAAATATTATTTCTCCTCTGATGGATACCAGCACCACTTTGATTTTTTTTACAAAATATACACGTTGGGCATTCCGACGCTTATATGCACAAGTTTGCTCATCGATGAGTAAGAGGTCCCTGACTTTTAGATCACATCATGATCTTTCCAAAAAGATATTACAATAGTGATCCTGATAACCGAGTTAAAATTTATAACATGTGCAAATTCCAGTCTCGGTGTACGTTTCCAGACTACTTCTGATTGTTTTGACCCTATCTCGCTAAAATATTCATATCTTGCGTATAAATCTCCGAATCAAGTTCACTTTATTTCTATGGATTCTTGAGAAAGAGGTGACACTCCCATATGCTCAAACCTGATTTTAGCCTATGATATTTTTTTGAATTAACTGTGATTAGCTTTTCATCTTGCTCTATTCACTTGAGTTTTCAACTCTGGTGCATTGATGAGTAACAGAGCTCATCGATGACCGAGTACTCATCGATGGGTGATGTCTCTCTGTAAAATTTTGAATCGATGTGAAGTTGTTGATCAACGAATCAACTCCCAGTTCATTGATGAGAACCAATGCTCATTGCTAACCAAATGCTCATAGATGGACAAAGGGCTGAAACTTGTTGAGCTGAAATTTCTTCTGTTTGTTCGCAATATCGATTCTAACATGTATAAAACATCTTAAATACATATTAGACCAATATAAAAGTTTGTTATTCATCAAAGTCAACCGTATGGATACAATAACGTTGTATACCTTAAAGTTTCAAAAACTTGCATTTATATACCCTAATCTGTTTTGGCAGCAATTACATACCCCAAAAATTTTAAAAGCGAGCACTTAAATACCCTAAAGTTTTTAAAATTTGCACTTAAATACTCTCAGTTATGCAAACTCGATAGTATTCAAGTGTAAGTTCTAAAAACTTAAGAACATTTAAGTGACAATTTAAGTAGGGGTGTCCAAAAAGCCCGCCGGCCCGGCCCGGCCCGGCCTCGGCCCGGAAACCCGGGCCAAGTCCGGGCTCCGGGCCGGGCCCGGGCCGTCTTTTTGGTGCCCGGCCCGGGCCCGGCCAGGCCCGGAATAGTGTTTTTTATTTTTTTTATTTTTTTTATTTTTTATATGTATTATATATGTATAATATATGTATATATAATATATTTTTGTATATGTATAATATATGTATATATATATATAATATATGTACATATAATATATTTCTATATATGTATAATATGTGTGTGTATATATACTCTCTCTTATATATGTATAATGTATGTATGTATGTATATATATACTCTTTCTTATACTATACATGTATATATAAGTATACTTTCTCTTATATATGTATACTCTCTCTTAAAGTATACACTCTCTTATATATGTATAATATATGTGTGTATATATATATATATACTCTCTCTCTTAGTATATATGTATATATAAGTATACTCTCTCTTATATATGTATAATATGTGTGTGTGTGTGTGTGTATATACTCTCTCTCTTAGTATATATGTATATATAAGTATACTCTCTCTTATATATGTATAATATGTGTGTGTGTGTGTACTCTCTCTCTTAGTGTATATGTATATATAAGTATACTCTCTCTTATATATGTATAGTCTCTCTTACATAAGTATATATAAGTATACACTCTCTTATATATGTATAATATATGTGTGTATATATATATACTCTCTCTCTTAGTATATATGTATATATAAGTATACTCTCTCTTATATATGTATAATATGTGTGTGTGTATACTCTCTCTAGTATATATAAGTATAGTATATTACAACGGCTACTTCTTCCCCATTGGCCCAGCGGAGTCGTCATCTTTTGTTTGTAGGGAAAATTGCAAAGAAGAGAATAAAGAAAATTTGACTTTGATTCCTTTGATCTCGGTTACAACTTGATTACAAAAGAGAGGAAAACGAATTTAGTTTTCCCCTTTGTTTAAAACTGGGTTCTTCACGGTGGCGATGGAGTGCCTCCCTCGAATGCTCACGTCGAGTTTGCTCTCCGTTGACGATCCGCACGTCTTGATTCACTGGAACGATGTCTTCTCCTCACGATTTGACGTTGTGGAGAACTTGCGTGGCAAGTTTAAAACTCTTGATGAGTTGATAACTCTGATCGAGTTTGAACTCTTGAAAAAGAGTTGATTTGAACCGAAGATCGGTTATAAGCCAAGGACAGAGGCCCCCTGTTGTTGAAGTTGAAGATGATCTTCGTTGGAAGATGATGCCGATCTCCTCAAAAGCCTCTCTCCAGTGGTCGATCCAAGCCCAGAAAATCCAACCTTGCTGCCAATTCTCAGATCCCAAAATGCCAGCCCTTAACTCAGTTGAGTTTACTCGCTTTTATAGGGGATTAAGGGGGTGTAACTGCCCTATAAATCCGTTCCTAAGTGGGCGAAAATTCCTCAGAACGTGAGATAACGGTTTTGAGGCCGTTCGGCTTGTGTTTGAACAAGTCAAAACGCCCAATCTGGCGTTCAGAACCCAACTTCGCCTATTAGAATTGAGACGCGAAGTTGGGTGTTGGCTGAACATTGATGAACGCGAGGGTCGCTCGCGTTTTGGTTTGTTGTAGCTTAGAAACGCGGGGGTCGGTGTTGGCTGGACCCCTAAGAACGCGAGGGTCGCTCACGTTTCGCCTGTTGTAACGCGGGGTTCGACCCTGGCGTTTTGATGTTGTGACGCGGGGTTCGACCCTGGCATTTTGATGTTGAAACGCGGGTTTCGACCCTGGCGTTTTGATGTTGTAACGCGGGTTCGACCCTAGCGTTTTGATGTATATATGTATAATATATGTGTGTATATATATACTCTCTCTCTTAGTATATATGTATATATAAGTATACTCTCTCTTATATATGTATAATATGTGTGTGTGTGTGTGTGTACTCTCTCTCTCTTAGTATATATGTATATATAAGTATACTCTCTCTTATATATGTATAGTCTCTCTTATATAAGTATATATAAGTATACACTCTCTTATATATGTATAATATATGTGTGTATATATATATACTCTCTCTCTTAGTATATATGTATATATAAGTATACTCTCTCTTATATATGTATAATATGTGTGTGTATACTCTCTCTCTTAGTATATATGTATATATAAATATACTCTCTCTTATATATGTATACTCTCTCTTATATAAGTATATATAGGTATACACTCTCTTATATATGTATAATATGTATACTCCCTCTTATAAAGGTATACTCTCTCTTATATATGTATACTCCCTCTTATATAAGTATACTCTCTCTTATCTATGTATAATATGTGTGTGTATACTCTCTCTCTTAGTATATAAGTATAGTATATTACAACGGCTACTTCTTCCCCATTGGCCCAACGGGCAATGGCTACTTATGCGATTTTCTCTCTCTCAAGTTATAGATTATAAATATATATAATATATTTACATATAATATATGTATATATAATATATATAATATATGTATATATAATATATATAATATATGTATATATAATATATATAATATATGTATATATAATATATAGTTACATAATAATTTATAAGTATATACTAATACATAATTATATAAAATATAATAAATTTAAACTAATTTTTAGTATTTTTTATCAAAAAAAAAAAGAAAAAAATTGAAAAAAATCCGGGCCGACCGGGAGCCCGGCCCGGATGGACAGGCCTAAATTTAAGTACTTTAAGATATTTAAGTGCAAATTTTAAGAACATTAGAGCATATAAGTGCTGCCAAAGATAAGTGAGGATACTTAAGTAAAAAATTTAAGACTTTGTGTATATAAGTGAGGGTATATAAGTGCAAATTAGGGGAAACTTTACGGTATTTAGGTGCAAATTAGGGGAAACTATAGTATTTAACTGCAATTAAACCATTCGAAAACATGCCTACAAAAGTAGACTTCCCTTCTCATCCCCGGGCCCACCCACGTAACTATGCAAGACGGTCTCTCTCGCTATCGACGTGTTTGCAAATCGATCTCCTCGATCCCGAACCAAACGAGAAACGCAGCGGCACGGAGAAAACCCTCGGGGGGAAAAAAGAAAAAAAATCTCCCCCTTCACCTCTTCAATAAACACAAAAAACAAAACCAAGAAAAGAAAATAAAAACCCTCGCTTTAGCCTCTCGTCGGAGGCTGACCTCGATTTTGGGGCCATTATTAGGTTGACGCCCGATTTGATTGAAGAGATTAAAAGAGTTGAAGCTCAAGGGGGATCTGCTAGGGTTAAGTTCGCTCCTAATTCAACTATCCCCCATGGAAATGTAAGTGAGGATTTTGAATTTTGTGGATTTTGTTTGTTTTATAGTCTGAGAATTAGGTTTTGATAATACTGAATCTATTAATGTAGGTTTGGTGGTATGAACTACTGATATTTATGGCTAATGTTACGTTCTAAAAAATTTACAGATTTCATTGATGCTTCTTTGCATTAGGTCATAGATGTTGGTGGTAAGGAGTTTGGATTTACGTGGTCACGGGATGAACTATGTGATATTTATGAGGAACGGCAAAGCGGAGAGGGTGGAGATGGATTACTAGTTGAATGTGGCTCTTCATGGCGTAAGGTGAATGTGCTTCGAACTTTAGATGAGTCTACGAAGAAGCATGTGAAAAAGCGTTCGGAGGAGGCAGAGCGCCTACTTAAATCGCGAAAGTATAGTATATATCTGGATCATACCTGCTTTTGTTTTTGGTACTTAGTTTGCGAGATTCAGTTATTTTAATTATTTGCATTCATTGTCTTTTGATTTTCACCACAAATAGACAACCAAATCTAGATAGTCGCAGCTTAGCAATGCGTACGGTATGCTGTTGGTGAAAAGAAAAAAAACTTGGGACTTCCTATTACCTACAATCTATGTTGCATGGGTGCGGGTGCAGGTGGGGGTATGGGTATAGGACATGGAAAAATTGTAAAGGGTAGGGTACGGGGACACGGCTGTAACATGTGAGCTGTAATCATAGTTCTAACTAGATAAGCAAACAACCCTTTGAAGTCATTGTTTTTAAGGCTGAAAAGAACTGAGTCATTGTCCAATAGGTTTGAAAAGTAGTTGTAAAGTGTAGGATATATGTCCATAAGTGTACTACGAGTGTTTTAAATTAAAACATGTATTGTATAATTGAGCACATGTCTAAATAGATGTATGCATTTATATAAGGAGTGTCCAAGAAATGTCAGGTATGGATATGGGTATGGGAAGTGTTGGGTATGGCTTCAGCTTCGTGATAGAAGTACCACGTAACATATAGCCTACAATAGAGATCTTTTATGTTTACTATATTAACAGGCATATGGGAAGAGACTGAAGAGTATTTGAGAGCTTTCATGAATACCACCCCCCCTCCCCCTCCCCAAATAAAAAAAATAAAATAAAAGAAAGTACTCCTGTTGCCCTTATTCTTTTGCCTCTAGATATGCATTCTTTCACTTAACATTAGCTTTACATGCTGATATTTGGCGAAAACCTGCAGTCAGTAATTGGTATTATCAGTTTTTTGCCAGCTATTGGCCTTCAAGGGCTACTGCATATGTAATTGATTTACCTTCGTACTCTTATATTACTCCCATTTTCTATGTTACCTATTTTCTGGGTGTTTTGAACCTAAATGTCAATTTAATAATTCAATTTCATATCTTCCATCATAACTGTCATCTACTACAAGATTCGCTGAGGAGATTGAAGATGTTTTGGAGGAACATATGATATTCACCTATGGCTAGTCTCTTCAAAGCTACTTAGTCAACTGGAATGATCGTTCTTCTGACCCTGACAAGCTTTGTCATACTGATGATTGTTATTGCACTATTACATAAGCTTTTACTTACTGGAGCTGACTCATTGCTAATCAGGGGAATTGGTGGAGATTATTTTCCAAGAATTAACCAAGAGGATCAAAAGAGAATTGATGAAATTAGGAATTTTTTTTGGTTCCTTACAACCTTTTTATTAGTTATTTGAGAAACAAACTCTATATGCTTCATTTTAGAGTAGAACTTTGAAATTTTTTCTGTATTCAATCAGAAATAGGATAGAGCAACCCCACAACCTATATAAGGAACTCTAAGGTACTCAATATTAACAATGAATTTTCAGATATTAACCCTAATTTTTACTTAGTTGATTGCTTCTCAAAACCCTAATTTCTTTCCCTTTTCCTCCTCTTCTTTCCTATTCTGCGGTAACTATTGCACCTTCTGCTCTCACATGAGTATAGTCGTCTTCACAAGTCCTTAATATAGATCCCAATCTGCTGTGGAAATTCCTTCACTATGGAAGATCCTTCTAGTCATTTCCTATCTTATTTTGACATTGTCACTCAATCAAGGACACTGTGCTCTTCTTTCTATAAAATCTGCCCTGATACATTTGATAGCAGTGGCAGCATAAACCTGCTGGTCTTATCGATACACTGTTTTTCTACCCACCATATTATACCAATCTATTTTTGTGTAACTCTGTCTGATTGCTGTCCATGCTTCCTGTTATAGTATATAAATTATGACCTCACTACAATTCAGAGTTTTGATGCAGTGCCAGAGACATTTCACACTCCCTATTTAATTCTCCATTTCCTATATATTTCTCCCTGTTTACTTTAAAAGCATTCACCACTATTTAATTGTCTACTTATCCCACTCACAATATGGAATTGGGAATTGGTGCGAATCATGACGGGAAAGTTGTTAAACCATATTGTATGCAGTTAGGCAAACTGCCTAGTCTAACATACATGCATATGTGTGCATGTATATGAATGTGTTTGCATATACCCATGTGTATGTGTTATCATTACCGTAACCTTGTGCATTTGATCCTAGTTTTCCACGATTATAAAGTCATACTCATGCCATGTTTTTGGTGGACCTAGGTATACCATGAAATTATATTACTTGTCCTACTCCTTAAGAATCAATGCCAAAACAGGAAACATAATTTCTATGTAAGTGATATGAAATATAACTGTTTTGGTATAGACGAGATATAACCACGGAGCTATGCAAGGAGCTATGCAAGGTATCACCTCAAAAGAACACTAGAAATTCCACCTCTCCCTTCTCCTTAGTTTTGGCCACTTGGCAGAAATCTCTATGGTGTGGAGACATGTCTATCTAGGAATTTTGAATGCTTTCTGATTTTGGTAGCTGATTTCGTAGTATTTTCAGAATATAAAGCTCCATATGTGTTTAAGTTCTAAATTTTTTTACATTTTTACTGATATGTCTTATCACAGAGCAATTGTGTTAGACCCTTCAAACCCATCTATGAAGAATCAGGTTAAGAAGATGGCTGCAGCTGGAGTTGAGGGTGAGTATTTCTCTTTTTCCATATTTACATTTTAGCTTTCTTTCTTTCTTTCTATTGCTATTGAACGTGAAATTGTGCTGCTTAACTATTACGTATGTCCAGTGTAAAACCTGAAGCCCGAAAACTTACCTTGCAATTTCCTCAAGTCTTTATCCTAATTAAACTACGATATTGCTTGTAATACTAAATACCTTGCGGTTAATGAAATGATTGTATTAGTTCCAAATGGCGTTTCAAAAGTGTTCGTATAAAGACACCAATATCCTGTACTTTTTATGTGAAAACCTATTCATGACAGGTTGCTGTAATTTTAGTTATGGATGTCACGATGCCGCAGACCCAAAGCAAAGACCTAGCACTTGTTAAAGTGCGCTTTCTACTCGGATATCATACATTCACTCATATTATTTCTATTCCATGGTTAGCAGTTATCCTCGTAAAACTTAAGTTTACATGTTACTAGCTCAAATTCGCTTGAGAAGCAAAACCACCATGCTTCACTTTCTCTGTTGGTCAAGGCTTTAAATACATGTTGCCTATTTGTTCCAATAAAGTTATGCATATTGCTTCTCAATGTGTAGGCTTTAAAATTCTCATTTTATATAATTTAGTCACTCGTTTTAAACTTTCTAAGGTGAGCCAAACTTATTGATCTAGTTGCCATGCTGTAGGATCTTTGTAACACAATTGTTGATCTCTCAAATGCTCGCAAAAGGAAAACTTTGTAGACTATTTTAACTGCACTCTTGTTTTCTCTACTTCACTCGTCTATGCACTCCTGACTGCTTTCTCTTTATATTTTCTTGTTAAGAATGGGAATGGATGAAAAAGCAACAGCAACAATGCTTTGTCAAAAAGTTGTGGTTGGCTATTTCTTCCCCTCAATTTTATCGAGGACTAATCAATTTTATTTAGGACTATCTCTTTTGTTAAGTTAACCATATCATATCCTTCTTAATTGCTTCCAACCAGGTTCTCTTAAGTCTACCTTAAGTTCTCTTAAGTCTACCTTAAGTTCTCTCTGCTCTAATAAGTATGATCTCATCACCTTTTCTAATTGTTGCATTTCGTGGCCTCCATAACACAGAGCCAAACCAATTGATTTTCTCTCATTTTATATTCCATAGGAGCAGTCGCTAACCTCCATTCATATCTTATCCTATCTCTTAGTGTGCATCCATAAGGTCATCATATTATTTGCATTTCTGCTACTCATTTTGTGACGAAGCTTTGTTTTAATTCTGGTGGGAACAAATAGTATATTACTCTTTCTAGAGTTATAGATGGAGTTCAAAGTCCTCAATTTCAACTTAAAACACGCATATTGGAGAACATGCGCAATATGACACATAAGGATGCATATTGGAGAATAATTGATTTCTACATATTAAAAGCATCGCTGGTGGATATGCAGGTTTTAAGGTCATGCATCCTTCAACTACTAATCCCTTCTTGTTTATGAAGTAATTTACCTAAACATGCTCTATGGATGAGATGGTTCATGGGAAGACTAGAAGATCTTCAAATAAGGACATCTAAAATTAAATAAACAGACAATGAAGCCATTATTTGGAAATACTGGGATGGCCTATTGGAGGAATTGCCATGAATTAGGTAGGCATTCAAGTCATTAACATTGGCACAGTTTGAACCATTACAGATCTGGATTATTATTATGCAAGTATATGAAACTCTCATTTGGCTGGCAAGTGTTTTCTGGGCAGAAAATTTTCTTGCAGTTTATGTCAAAGTGTCCTGATTTCTTGTATTTCTTTTACATTTTAAGCTCCCAGCTTTCTTAAAATTTGTGACTTTAGCTTTTTCCTAATAGGTAGTATGCGGAGGATGGGTTGGAAACAGAAGAAGGAAGTCAAGGAACCTTTCTTTAAGAAGCAAAAAGTTGAATCAAATCAAGGTGAATAGATCTTGATTCTTTAGCTTATCAAGAAATTCACATCTTCTCTGTTATTCTGTTCTGCAGAAAGTTATATCATTACATACCATCCTGACACCAATATTCATTTCCTTGCTTCAGTTTCAAATGTATGTCCTCCTAAATCTGTTTACAAATCGGGGGCATTTTCTAATAGAAATGCTAAAGGAATGCTTTCAGTATCACCTGTACCATCACCACCTGAGCAGCCTGCTCCTGGGTCTACAGTCTCCCCTTTTGCAACTGGAACTTCATCAAGAGGTAATGCAGGCCTTGAAGAAATCGTCCCTCTAGACATAAATAAAGAGCACGTTGACATTGGCAACTTCGAGAAAGAACTACCCAGTAAGATTGCGCACGGTGCCAAACACAAAGTAGGCAAGCAGAAAGGATGTGTTGGTGATCAGTCTGTAGATTTGCAAAGTAGTCATGTACGAAAGGCATCAGAAAATTCCAAGGGGATGGCATTAAAGGTAAATAAATGAAATTCGTAACAACTATTCTCATAAAATTTATGGAGCAATATATTTACTATCTTTTGAAATATTGTTGTTGTGATAATGAAATTTTCATGTCTTAAGTGGAAGATTAATAATACAGTCCATACCTTAGCATAATATAGGTATCATGTCATATGATATGATACAGTCAAACACAAATCTTTTCCTTTAAATTTTCTAGGGTTTAAGTTGTACATGAATACGAAGCCTCTTAACATATGGGTATTTGAATTTGCTGAATAATTATCTTATAAAATATCTGTTGCTTTATACTATTAAACATGAGGTACGTTGTTTAAGTTTTTTAATTGTAGATTTAACCTTGCTCTTTTATAAGATTACACATCCTTTATCAAAAGCAGCAAAATCTAGTTTTACCATTTACTTACCAAGTGGGACATTGTATCTCCTCAATGAACTACTGCCCTACGGACTTTTACTCGAATCGTTTTCTGATTTTCCTGTTTGCTTGCTTTCTTAGATAGGTACCTGCATATAAAGTCTACAAGATGAAAACAATGCAATAGAGAAAACAGAATAGATAGACTAGAGATAATGAACTAGAGGTAAGAGAGCTTTTTGAGAAGGAAAGATAGCTATCCAATATAAGGCGTGCTTCCGTCTGAATCATCACAATGAGTGCAGCAAAAATAAAGTGATAATTATAGCCGTAGATCTAAGCAAAATGTTACTTTGGGTTGTCCGTTTTTGTACCATTTGATGCATGGGCAAGAAAATTCAAAATTACCTGATTATTCTTTTTTCCTAAGAACTATTATATCAGCTTTAACATTATGGATTCCGTTTGAAAGGTCTGCTGGTGAGTTTAAATGGGAAGGACTCACTTCCAAATTCTTCTGGAAGTAGCCAAAATCTATTCCCGATAAGCTGACCTAAAAACTCGTTAGTTATGTTAGTAATGGATTTACTTCTCTTTTCATTTAATTCCATTTAAAAGGAAAGTTGAGTTTTTCTTGTCATTGTACGCCATTCCACCAAAGAGAAGGTGTCATCTGATTTCTCTAATCTTTTAAATTTTCTTGTATTTTGAGATCATATAAAAAAATTGGACTCTAGGTCTTTCAAAGAAATTCCATTAAATCTGAAATTTCTATGAAAATTAGAGTTCCTTGGGGTGTCATCTAAAACTGTCTACAATTTCAAGTGTTAGATGATTTTTTCACTGGAAGTTTGGTGTTTTAGTTTAATTATCAGAGACATTTCTGCTATGATTTTGGTTTGTGGAATGTGATAGCTAGCTGGTTACGGGCCATGAATGACAAGTTAAAGGATGTATTGCCTGAACTTTATCGTCTAACCTTATGGGCCAATTTAGAGAATTGCCACAAGATCTACTTGTCTTTTTGGGGGATAAGCTAGCAGTACAGAATATTTCTGCATAAAACTTGTTGATTTTGTAATTGTTTCAACAAGGACATATGCTGCTAGGCAAAGACATGAGCTGGAATATGCTGTTTCCTTATGGCTAGGGTAGTTTACGATGACCAGGTTAAACACATGACTACCATTACCATTATATGACTTTTCCCTTGTTGACTGCTAATAGATCTTCAGTATACCTTGCTCCAGCATAATTAGCATCTAGAAAATCATAAATATTCTTAGGCCTCATTTGGCAACAGGTTAACTGAGTGGTTGAGGAGAGTTAACCTCTCTTTAACTTGGCAAACACAAACAATCTATACATGGAATAAAGTGAGTAAACCCACCTTAATTTGGCGAATTAACAATTACAAAAGGGTTAACATAGCGCCTCTAGAGATATTAAAATTAGTCAAACCCTTCAAAGCGAGAGGTTTATTAATCCACTTTTTTAGAAGAACTAAGATAGAACCCTTTACTTATAAAGAAATTAGCACTAATCCTCTTTATTCTCCACACACTACAAAAGGGTATAAGAATTAAAATGAATCTTACATGACTGGCTAATCAATTTAACCCTTTGGACTGACAAATGGGTTAACTACATTAACTCATCTCCAACTAAATTAACTCATCTCCTTAATCTCTCTTGCTTAAACCTTTGCCAAACATGGCCTTTGTCTTTTAACTTAGCATGAGCTTCTTCTAGGCATCTCAATTTCTTTTCTTCTCTCCCTTTGAACTTTATGATATTCTTGAACCCACTCTCTAATTCTTGCTACAGGGTTCATGTGTTGACAACTTGCTAGAAATGTATCATCTTCTCATCTATTCTTAAGTATTAAAGACCAAAACCTTCCGCTACCTGCGACATTTTGATTCTGGCTATTTATGTAGATTCTGGTACACAGTTATTTCATTTAAAATGTGTGAAATTGGAAGCAGAATATTAGCATAGTAAAGACCAAAACCTTCCGCTACCTGCGACATTTTGATTCTGCGACATAATATTAGATTTTCCTTTGGTGTCTCTTAAGGTTAATATTATCTATAATCCTGATGTGATCCCACGTCTAGTGTATTGAATACATTTATTAGTATGACTGCTCAGCAGCAAGCAGTGAGATCTAAATACCATGAGCAAACATTTCTCAAATAGCCTTGTACATTATGCTGTGCACTTTACACAGTACATATACCAAACTCTAGAAATCATGCACAGGAAGAACTTACAGTTGGCAGATCCTGCTTGGAGCTGGAGTGCACAGATGTATGCTCTTTTCATGACTTTAGGGCAGAACATTGCCAATGAATAACCATTTAATGGAGCCTTCTATTTTTCTATTATTTTATTTATTTTATTATTTCTTTTGCTTTATTTGGTTTCACACATTGATGTAGCCCTTTCAAACTCTTTATAATATTGAATGCTTATCTTGTTTCTTCGTGCTTAGTCGTGACGTTTTTGAAAGTCAGGTGTCCTAGATATTTATATAGTTTTATAAATTTACCTGCTAAAATTTTGTCATTGATGCCTTTTGATTGCGTGATTGTATTCCAGGCATTGGAAAAGTCATCCGGAGAAATGGTTCCAAACCTTGCAACGAATAATGACAGTATGGTAAAAAATGTAAGTGTTGAATACATCTATTCCCAGTTAGTCCAGTATTGGTATTAACTTGTTTTCTTCATATTATGGTCTCCAGATTGAAGCACCAGGAAAGTATTTAAAATCAGGAGTTGGAGCAGGCAGCTCTAAGCAACGGGAATTTGAAAGCGGGAGGTGTGGTTCTTAATTCTGCTTTTATTTATTTATTTATTTATTTTGGACAGGACATCTACACAGTTATTTATCACTTATATTTAACTATGTTTCACCTTTGATACTAAAGATTTTCAGATGTCAGAAGGGTCACATTCTTTCTTAATATTCTATAAGTAGTAAAAGAAGCATATTAGGTAATATATGGTTTTCTTTTTTCCTTTTACAGTTTCAATTTTTGTCTACAGCGTCCTATTAAATATTTTATATCTGTCTATAGTTGTAGTAACTAACTTGGGTTCAGAATCATTAGTGCAACTTCTGAATTGTTTTGTTGAGGCTTCTAAATTCAGTCATGTCCCATAGCTGATCCTCTCCCATAGCTGAATTGTTTTGTAACTCAATTAAAGGAAGCAATTTTCAAAAGATTTCCTCTTTATATGGCTTGGAATTCAGTGCGACTCTTCTCTTTGTCTCTATATGATGGTCACACTTGACACTACCTATTAAAATCTTTTCCTGGCTCTAAAGGAAAATAGAAAGGTGTAAAATTCTAAATGGAGAACTCATAATAGGAACATGAATATTGACATTGGACAGTATAAAAACAACAGAATTGTGGAAAAACTCTACAAAAGCATGATCAAATGGAGTCTGATTCCAAATCACTGAAAACCACCCTGTATGATGGAATTCAGTGTGAATCTTCTCTTGGTCTCCATATGATGGTCACTTTACCTAGTAAAATCTTTTTCTGGCTCAAAGGAAAATACAAAGGTGAAAGATCCTAAATGCAGAACTCATAAAGAAACATGAAGGTTGGTATGGACAGTACAAAAAACAACAGAATTGTGGAAAAACTCTACAAAAGCGTGATCAGATGAAGTCTCTGATTCCACATCACTGACAACCACTCTGTTTTATTATCAGTAGTAAACATATGTTTTCTTTTGGATTTGTCTATTCAGAATGTCATTAGATCTTCCTCTCTGATCGTTTGGTGTAAATGATTGGTTAATTTGTGTAAAGATTTATGGTTATGTTTGAATTAGGCTAGCAGCTTTCTCAACACATCTGTTGATTATGTCCACAAATGCTTCACCATACGTCTACATTCTTACAATATTGTTTGTCTGTTTAACGTTTATTTTCCTTCCCGAAATAATAATTATTTTACTATATTCATCTACTATTGGTTGGTGAATTTTTATGTAATGTTTAGCAACTTTGTATTTAATATTTTGATTTTGTTGAATCTTTACCACTCGCCATATGGTTGGAATAAATAGTTTCCTGAGCACTAGTTTCTTCGTTATCTTTAGTAGTGAGTTCTCTGGTGGACCTGCATTATACTCCATACTATTTTTTTGGTCAATGAAAATATTATATTCATTCACCAAATAGAGCGTTGCAGGTACATCTTGATACCCATAGGCCATATCAGACATATACTCCGTACTATTGCTCAATGGCAAACTGCCTTTTTCTCTCTAATACCCGACTTTCCTTGCAGTTCACCTGAGAGCGCACATGATATTGCATCGGCAATAGAATCAATCTTTGGTGACAACGCTGATGAAGATTTTGACCGACAGGCTCAGCCGAGTTCAAACACAGTGGAAGAAGATGATCCCTTTGAGAAGATTGATATAATGAATGATAACCCAGATCCATTCACCAATGCTGATAAAAATATCATCAATGATATTGAAGGGAAAACAAGCTCAAGTGACAGTGGAAGTGGCAGTGATAGTGAAAGTGATAGCAGCGACAGCGACAGTGGAAGTGACAGTGAGAGTCAAAGTAGAAGCAGAAGCAAAAGCAGAAGCCCTGTGGGAAGTGCTAGTGCAAGTAGCAGCGACAGTGACAGTGATGGATCTTCCACCAGCAAGGACGTATCTGATGTAGATGTTGATATCATGAGCGAAGATGAAAAACAAGGGCTTGAGCCTAAAGCAGAGGCAGCTTATTTGAAGTTATCTTCTTCGCCTCGGTCCAGGGCATCTGATGGTGAACAGGAGCAAATTGACATCCTAGGAGTTCAGGAGGAGCAAATTGCATCATTACCCATGGATTTGAATGGAAGGGCTGTTGAGATGGCAAACCCAGTTGAAGGCGCTAAAAACTTCCCAAGTAGTACCAGTATCAACACTTCTGAAAACCCTGAAATAAATGATAGCAGAACCATAGGTTCAAATTTGCAGAGAGAAAGTTCTAGATTTCCTGGGGTGGCTTTATCTCCAGATCGATACAAGCATTCTGAGGACCTACACCCTCAGTTTGTTAAATTATCGAGCAATATAAATGATGAAGTCATAAAGAAGGCTGTTAGTGAGCAACAACCTAAACTCGATGGTTTTCCTGCTCATGCGCAAACAGAAATTAAGAAGACAAAGACTAAAAGGGATAAACCGGAGTACTTCAAAGAGAAACCAGAGAGTGCAAAGGGGTCTAAAGGTGGAAGAGCAGCTGAAGGCGTGCCTTACGGAAAAAGTAAGCATGCTTCTCTCTCAGTGAATTCTAGCTATGTTTCTCCTGAAAAGACTAGACAGGATCAATCTAAGTCAAATAACATTGAATGGAGTGGTACTAAGGAGGCTGATCATCAGGGACACAGTCTGCCTGATCGTGGCAGGTCTCTAGCTGTTGGAAATATGCAAAAAGTACATCAGGGTCCTGAAGTTTGGTGTTCATCGGGTACAGGAGCAGAGCAGCCAGGTCCCAGAAGTGGTGATATCAGTGAAAGGAGGAAGTCCATGGATAGATCTAATAAAACTTCAGAAAGAATACCTGTTCGCCCTGATGCCACGCTGAAAGATAAAACGTATAAAGGTACACAAGACGAGGTCAATATTGGTGAAAAACTCTCAATCCTTCCTGAATACAATAGAAAATCTGTTGACCATGGTGGATTGAATGACAGTGGACCTTTATTACAAATAGGGAAATATGATGGGAATAAATCTCCTCTTATCGGTGGAAAGAGAAGTGTTCTCAGTAGAGAGCTTTCAGATTTGGAGTTAGGTGAATTACGTGAACCTTCTGCCAGTGGTGAGACTGGTGGGGTTAAAAGACAAACTGATGGGAAAAAATGCTTCAAGTCATCAGAGAGTAAAGCTTATTCTACTGATTGCCCAAATCCGGATATAAGCAAGGGTAGAAGTGGTTCCCATCTACTTCCTGAATCAATGAAGCACTCACCCCAGAGTGTGAGAGGTGAAGTTCATGGGAACCTAGAAGGATTTCATAGAAGTATGCCTTCAGATGATCCAGCGGGCACCGCTCCGGGGCCACAAAGAACAATACTTCAAGGTAAGCACCCTTCAAGGGTTGATCATACTGATTCTGAGATCAAATCACATCTGGATAACCCATCAGAGTTAGCTCGTAGAGGTGAGACAGGAGCAAACCAAGGAATAGGTCTGGAAAACCACGCAGACTCCCTTAAGAGAGATCCTACCAGCTTGCCAGCCCAGCATAGTATTAAAAATGGTGGTCAGAAGGGTTACAAAAAGGCTAAAGAGTTAAAGCAGCAAAAACCAAGTACACTGGGACATTCTGCTGGTCAGAGCAACAATGGTGTATCTATGGAAAATGATAGTAATAGCAGGAAAAGAAGAGAATCTTCTTCTGAGGTTGATAATTCCTTATACTCTAAATATGACAAGGAGGCACCAGAGCTCAGAGATTCAATCAAGAACTTCTTGCAGTAAGTTTCTTTTGCTTTATATGTAATATATAAGTAGCTGATTGCTCTGGATCAAGCATCACACAGGCAGGTTTATGGCCCTCAGATTTAAAAGGAATACTGACCACAAAACTTTTCACTTTCTTCTACCCCGTCATAGTTGTTGAAGATCTATGGGATCTTACTAATATTCTAAATGTCAACAATCAATGGCCAAATATACAACAACATCAAAGCCTTTATCTCAAATGTTTGGGGTCGGCTTCAATCAATAACCAAATATGAACTTCCTAAACAAGTGCAGATGGATTTTAATGTGATATGCCAAATTGGACCAGATCAAATGTCCACGAAGGCTCCTTCATTACAACAAAAGCTTCAAATTAATTATCAGTTTTTACCCGCAAGCGATCTATCTAATTGATGATGCAAAGTTGCAAAATCGTAAGAGAATTGACATCACGAGCTCATATGGTCATTGCCATGTATAATGAATCCATGAGCTGACCTGACTAAAACATGCTTATCAATGTTGTATTGTATTACTCAAGAACCCATGTATGAATAAGGGAAAATAAGATGACATCAAACTCGTGGATTCATACTACCCATTCATTGTTGACAGAGTATTACAAACAAATTTCAGTTATTTGTATTTTTCTACAAGGTTCTTATTGACTGCTAATTAAGATCATATAAATACATTTGCACTTTGCTTTTAATTGTGTAAACTAATACAGGTTTCATGGACATGCATGAAATTAACCTATTCACTTCTATTGTATTGCAGGTATAAAGATTATGTGCAAGAATACCGTGAGAAGTATACCTGTTACATCTCCTTGAATAAGAATCTGGAGAAAATTAGGTACAGACAACATCTCTTATTTATTACCCAATATCTGTTCAGTTGATATCAGAAACCTGCTTCATAGGTGATGCATGTGTATTGGAAGCTTATTCAAGTAGGTGTTAACTTAAGTTGTGAGTAAATTTAAACATTATTTGTTCATGTACAAACTCCATTGCATACTTTGTAGAAAACCAGCTGCAGATTACTGTAGCTTATACCTAGTTTCCAAATTGTATTACCATCCAGTTGATATTAGAAGTTTCTTTAAGTAGGCGCAATTCAGTTGTGAGTACTTTTGAGCCTGATCTTTCTCATGTACAAACTCCATGCAGAAATGACTTTCTCAAGGTAGGGGTGGAACTTGAGATTGCAAAAGGAAGGGGCTCTGAAGAATACTATAAAGTTGTAGGTGACTTGAAGGAAATGTATCACCAACATGGGGAGGTATGATTCTCATTGAAATTGTGTTGCTAGATAATGATAAATTGTCTTTTAAAAAGTAAGATGTAACTTCATCTTTTGTCGACTAGTGAAACCACTGACATCAGGTTCTTCCTCCATAGTGAGATTTATAACCTAGTATGTCTTATCCATGACCAACATCTGCGCCTAGCTGACACCAGATCACCTGACATAGTTACATTCATAACCTTGTACGTGTTATGTACTATCTATGACAAACATCTGTGCCTTTGTACCTAGCTGACATGAGATCACCATCAGCCCTTGAGGCATCATGCCTTACAGATACCTCAAAAGTTTATAAACCTCAAGTATACAGAATTGAATACATGATCTTAACCAGCATACGTACCAATCACAATCTAATTAAACTTTGAGTAGTCTGTGACGCTGTTAAGTCACGTATCCAGTAAATTCGTTCTCAAATTTCCACTATTGATGGTTATCAATTTGTGCTACAGGAATCACAAAGCCTAACTGAACTATTCTGTTAGCATGCATATAACTAAACTGGTACCACATACTCGTGTTGTTCAAGACCCAACATAATCCAATGCTGATTTCAGCTTGATACAGAGGGGGGGGCTAGTTTGGTTTGTGTTAGAATATAAAAAATATAATTCTTAACCCTCACCACAACTTTGGAGTTTTGGTGTAATGGTCCAGTCATTTAATTTAAAATGGTATCAGAGTAACCCCGGTTTAAGTCCCTCTGGCTATAAATTTATAGCGAATTTTTAAAAAATTTACACCGCTGTGTGAGTCTAGGTTTCGACCGATAAAAATGGTGCTCAACTTGCGGGGTCATGTTAAAATATACAAATATAATCCTTAACCTTCACCATAATTTTGGAGTTTTTGGGTAATGGTTGGGTCATATAAGATGATATGAGAGCAACCAAGGTTGCATAGGTACGGGTATGGACACGGGTACGGGTACGGGACACGACTAATTTGTAAAAAGTAGGGTAAGGA